GGTTCTTAGGCCTTTATTACCCCACTATGTTAAGAACAGAGGGCAACAGGCACTCCTGGTCGCATGTCCATGTTATCTCCTGGCTTCCCCCTAACAAGGGGACAAGCCAAAGCCTACAATTACCCAGAATCCCCTCACTGAAGCACTGTACATTGGAGAGATAGTGACCCTGAGCTGTGGGTTTGGGGGAGATTCGGCTGGCTGGGAGTATCTCTGGTACAGAGACACAATGGAAGCTTTGAAATTAGTTTTGCGAACGGTGCGGATTTACCGTGTTCAATGCCGCAGATCCTTTAAGTCAATGCAAGAATTTTGACAGTTTTTAGAAAACTTTTGAAATTTGCTATGGACATTGATAACCACTGGCGGAAGAACCCTATCAACCTGGGTAAACCCATAATTAATGTCACTGCTATTAATTGACTAATTTATTCATGTTGATGTTTTTAAAACATGAAATGTTTTGTCTTGTGCTCTTTTAAATGGATGTAAATGCAGGTGAAGGATGACCTGCTCAAATCACTGATTTCTTTTTTTTTCTCTTTTTTTTCTTTTAAGTGGAGCATATTGATTGACCTGCATTGTAAATTGTATTCTTTTCTTCTTTGCAGATGCAGGATCTTCAAGGACATTTGTAGAGGTGGTTTAATTAATGGTGGTTGTGTATATATGATGAAAGAGAGTTTGTTTACCAACTCTGGCTGGACTTCAGCGCTGTTCCCGGTGACTTCAGGATGTCAGGTCTTTGTAATTTCCTTTTCCAGTCAGGAAAACAGAAAAAAAAACCAGTTGTCAAATAACTGCAGTGTTGCACAGTGTGAAATAGGGACAGGGTTTCTGGAGATGTGCTTTCAGAAAATCATATGAATACTGCATCAAAATGGAAAGTGAATGAAAATTCATTGTTATTTAATAAAATTCATTCTTTGCAAGTGTGTCTGCATCTTTGCTGCTTGTGTCTGTTTCCTGGCAAGCTATTTACATGAGTACCCCTTCTAGGGCACTCATTTTCTTCAGTTCAGTGCAGCATATGAAACCATTTTGAGGTCAATCTGAAAGCAGTAAGCAGAGAACTGCAGGAAGTGTACGGCCTTTATCTTCTACCCATTCATTCATGAATGCCAATAATTGGCAAACGCAATCCAAACTGTGTGTGACTCTGCATGTGAGTAGATTAATTTTATATGACGTTTGAGTCATGCACAAAAATACAAGCTCAAATCATGTAATATTGCTGCACTAGCTGCTGTGGAGTTACATGAAGAGTTTTAGTTTGAACCATAAATATCAGAAGTTTTTTTTTGTTTTTGAAAACTATGAAACATAATAGTGTAATCCGTGGGCTCATACAGTCAGAGAGAAATTGCTCTACAAGGTATTTGTATGAAGGAGACTATTTGTATGAAAGAGACAGAAAATGCTGGATTGGTTTTGTATCTCTGCTTTGCAATGAGTTTTCTTCATACACAGTCATGTCAGCTGCAGATGTTTCTGTTTAACATTGTGTAGAACTGAAGCTTGGGCGGTACGGTGGTGCAGTGGGTAGCACTGCCTCCTCACAGCAAGGTCACGGGTTTGAATCCAGCGTGGGGCCTTTCTGTATGGAGTTTGCATGTTCTCCCCGTGTTTGTGTGGGTTTACTCCGGGTACTGCAGTTTCCTTCCACAGTCCAAAGACATGCATGCCAGGCTAATTGGAGACTCTATATTGTGTGAGTGAATGGTGTGTGAACAGTGTGTGTGCCCCTGCAATGCATTGGCGAGCTGTCCAGTGTGAGTCCCTGCCTTTCGCCCATAGTCAATTGGGGATAGGCTCCAGCTCTCCCACGACCCTAGAGAAGAAGAAGTAATATAGAGAATTTATGAATGGATGGATGGATAGAACTGAAGCCCCCTGGTGGCAAGTCTTGCAATAGCGAATACCAACTCATGTTCTGCAAATGATATTTGAATCTGAATGTGATTCCAGACATTTCATTTCAGTCAAGCCAAAAATGCACACACAGTGAAGTTTTTTGTGTGTGTTATTTTGGTACTGTTAGTAAATCACCAGATCTGAACAATCAGAAATCACCGAACAATTTTAGACTGTGAAGAGGAGACTAGACCCAAAATGTCCCCACAGTAAGCAAGTGCTGAAGATGGCTGCACTGCAGGCCAGGCAGCGCATCACCATTGGAGGTACTGGTGGTGTCTATGTGCCCTGGACTTCAAGCCGTCAAATTAAAACTCATCAAAAATAATCACTTTATTTACCATGATATAAAATGGTCCAATAATTCATGATGTGCCTGATAAGGAGGGTGGGGGGAGTTGGACAATGTATAGAAGTTGTTTTTTGTTGTAAACGGTTCATCTGATATGAATGAAAGCATCCTCAGAGCTGACCCTTCAACCCATTTGTCGTCATATTTTCTGAAACTAAAAGTGCCACAATGTAGAAATAGAATGTCACTGCTTAGTGAACTATGGTGATCACTGTATTTAATATTTAGCAAAAAAAGTGGTGACTAAGAAAAAAAAAACCTTCTGCGGTAAGGTGTGTGCAGTTGACCCAGTTCCTCTGTACTGAACCTCATGTACTGTTCGGTCACACCCTCCTTCTCTCACTTCCTCCACATTAAAAAAAATCGAAATCGTCATGAACTGAAACAGGCACCTGTATTACAAACTAGATGCCTTTCATAATTTTAGTCAAACTATAGTAAAATGTGAGGTGCAATATTGTTAGCCTAATGTCTGTTGCAATGATTAATACAATCAGTCATTGGCAGGGCGAGAGTGGGATATGTTTTCAGCTGAGGAATTTTCTGCCTTGGGTGGGGAATGTCAAGGGGGTTGAAGGTATGCTTTAATTATTTAATTTCCACCAAATTATCATTTTTGAAATTAATGATTTGCCACGGACATATGCAGAAACAGCAATAAATAAACCTAAAATTTTATTACAGAATATTGGAGGAAGTCCCAATGTTCACAAAAAGTTTGTTTTAAATAATCAAAAACGGGGTTAGCCAGAAAATGTGCGGCTTTATCCTGAGTTTCTAGCATGAAGAAAGGCTGTCTTTTGTGCTTGGAGTAAATTGCCATGTTTTGGTGAGTTATCCTGCAGAGGAAGATTTTTTGGTTTGTTCGTTTTATGGATGGTGTGTTTGGTTTCATGCAGCTGAATTTCTTATCATCTATGACACACAGCCCAACAATATTTATGACGCTCCTGAATTTTGCATTTTCTGAAAATCTAGCTGACTTCACTTAGAATGGTCCCATGTATTTTTGCATTAATTGTGCCCTTGCATATGTAAAAGTTACCAATGTCATGTGCACTGACACATTCCTACACCATGACAGATACTGGCTTTTCGACCTGATGTTGATAAAAGCTTGGGTTGTCCTTGCTGTCTTTGGTCCAGAAAACATGGAGGCTGTTTAAAAAAAAAAAAAAAAAGACACTTGAAATATTGACTGGTCGGACGACCTAACAAACTTTGATGGTACTACTGTCCATCTCAGATGGCACCGAGCCCAGAGAAGTTGGCAGTGCTTTTAGACAGTGTAGATATATGGTTTTGGCTTTACGTGGTAAATCTTTAACGGTCTCACTTCAAAATGAGGGTACAAATCACATGCTTAAGAATGCATGACTCATGATGATTTAATGCCTGAGTTAACAAAGGATGTATCAGGAATTCCAATTGCTCACCATGAATAAATGATCGTCACCATGACCGAACGCGATTAGTTCACACGTAATAGATCATCGGTTACGGAATATTAGTTCGCAGTTTCCTCATGTATAAACTCATATGGAACCGAATTAGTAGGATTCCTCTTACTCTAAAGTTTATTTCAGAAGGAAGCATTTGCTCAGTCTCTCTGATTAAAATAAATAAATAAATAAATAAATAAAAATTAAAAACTAGCTCCATATTTCTATTGACTGTGCTAAAACAATTGAAAATATTGAGAAACTTAAACTTTTTTATACTGTGTAATACGGGGATGTATATGTCAATTCACATTCAGAACTCAAAGAAAAAATAAATTTCTGTGTTAATATATACAGATTTTTAAAAATGTTCTGAAATGTTGTATTGAGTCATGGTGCGGTACTGGCAATAACAGAGGGCTAATGTGAGGTTCAATATTTTGTCAACTACTCACATTAATTATGCTGTAGAAAAGAAACAAAATTTTGCTCAAGTTGACTGTGTAATGGGCGGTGATAGGACGCCAGGTGCCGCGACCAGTGAGAGAAAGAACTGAGAGCAGCCCAGAGAACAGACAAACACAAAAGAGGTACACACCTCCGGTAAAAAGCTTCGCGCTTCCAGGACGAATAAAAGTCCGCAACACGGAAGCAGTCGAGAGAGAATAAACAACAAGAGAAAAAGAGAAAAATTTCTAAAAAGAAGCAATTCCTAACAATAAATGGAATATCACAAATCACTAGGAAATCTGACTAGAGATTTTCTCCGGCCGAAGTGCTAGAAACAAACAGACAATCTAGCAATAGGCGTGGCGAACCCCCGGCGATATATATAGAGTCCCGAAAACTCCGCCCCAGCTCAATCAGCTAGCTGGGCCAGGAATTCGATGGAAAAGAAATCCGATATCGTCCCGGACGATAGAACAAAGAAAGGTCCAACAAACAAACGCACGCCTAAACCATGACAGACTGTCCATGTGTAAACTGAAAATGATTTATGATTGTATGGGATTCTTGAGTCCAAACTGTTAAAAAAAAAAAAAAAAAAAACTTGTGTTAAAAGAGTTACGAATACAAGTTTACCACGGACACAGCACTGAAAGAGAATGCACAGCCAATAGTTATTGGCCAAGGTGCTGGTCCTGAATCCTGGTTTTGCTGACAGTGAAGGTGATGGTGTGAGTGCAGGTTCTTTTGTCATGCAGAAACTCGCTCCATCATGTCTGCAGTCTCTTACATGCCTTGCTTGATCTCTCACATACCGAGTCCCCATCTTACTGCAGGTTAAAGGAGGGCCCAGGCGAGGGTTTGAACTCTAGACTCCTGGGTAAGAGCCACACGCGCTGAACACATCGCCAAAGAGCCAGGCTCATTGGTTAGGTAGCCAGGGCGCATATTTATTAGGAGGCATTTCTTGTGACAGGACCCATTAACTGTCACATCTCTCTCCCTCTTTCGGGAGTGCGTCCTCACACTCCATGCTTTACGCATGCTGCCATCCATTGGGATTCCCTGAATCCTGCCGATTACGTCAGAATGTGGCAGGCCGAAGGAGGGCCCGGGCGGGGGTTTGAATCCTAGACTCGCGGATAAGAGTCACAAGCGCTGACCACATCACCAAAGAGCCTGGCTCATTGGCAAGGTAGCCGGGGCGCTTACTTATTAGTAGACATTTCCAGTGACAGAACCCATCAACTGTCACATCTACACCACCTCTCAGTTCTATGCATTAAATGCGCTTGTACAGCATTGATTTGTTTGTAAGAAATTGGAAAAATCTGAAATGTAAAAACATGATTCCCATCATACCCCCCCAAGTCAAGTAGTTGACATCTCCACCACGTATTTGTCAAGTTTGCTCATGCAGTTCTGAGTTGAAGACCTGGGTGCAAGAAGTACCTAAGTCACAAAATAATACTTTTGAGATTTTGGGGGTCAAAGTTTTCAAAACACATTGTAGATCATGACAATGGACAATGGAAACGCACCAATACACAAGACTTGAGCGCTTCTTCGCAGAAATCTTTGGTATCAGATGATGCTCTGGCCATTGTGGCTTTTAATACTGATGTCAGCTCATTTTTTGCAAAATGTGACTCAAGTACTTCTTGCACACAGGTCTTCAATTTGCGACTCGTGCCTTTTTTCGTGCAGATAGGTCGCTGCACCACAGCCATATAATAAAGTCATTGATGGCAACAGAAGTAAAATGCTGAACTGAAACTCACACACTGGGCTTTTGCTGCTTTCACAAGCACTTTGCAATGTCAGTATATTTACCAAGAATTTGTTTGACAAAAAGTATTACAGTAATATCAAATCATTCAAAAGCCATTATTACAGTATTCCTTCAATATAAATTGTATTCTAACACATTTTAACATATTTTGATAAACATGTTATACCTGTATCACACAATGCTTTCTTTACTTTTAACTTTGTTATGCAGATATGTTTTATTACGGCGACTTCTCTTACCTGAAGCTCAGGGGCGCTGTACAACAAAGGGCCCCTAATTAGCCAGATATGCAAATAATGTAAGAGAAATATTTTTCATGATCAAAAGTTTCAATATGACGGTGTTTCAAACCCAAGGCGCATAATGTGTGTGTGTCGCACTGAGTGTCTCACCGAACCTGAGTGTGTGAGAGAGTGTGTGAATGAGTGGGTAAGTGAGTGAGTGTGTGAACGAGTGGGTGAGAGAGTGAGTGTGTGAATGAGTGGGTGAGAGTGTGAACGAGTGGGTGAGTGTGTGAATGAGTGGGTGAGTGAGTGTGGCAGTGAGTGACCACAATTTGCAGCAAATACACCGCAGTGGCAGTTTGCAGCACCATAGGGAAAAATGTGATCTGTCTCGTTGATTTGCAGATATTATTTGCAGTCTATATTAGAAGTGAGAACAACTGTTACTTGGAATAGTCACTATGCAACTGCACTGAAGTAAATATAATAATATTCCACCATACTCTCACAAAATATGAAATCCATACCTTGTTCTCAATTTAGTTTTTTGTATAAGTATACACAGTTAGCTCCACAGATATTTGGACATTGACAAAGTTAGTGTTATTTTACCTGTCAACCACAGCATATTGAAGATTAAAATAAACAATGAAAATGAACCTAAAGTGCAGACTTTTGCGTGTATTTTAAGGGTAAATATGCTTGGGGGGGATGTTACAAATTGAAGCTAAGCCCAGGGTGTGATACTACATTAAATTGGCCCTGTTGATATGTATTTTAGCAGCAGTGTTTAACAATGAAGATGACAGGTGGATGGAGCAAAAGATAATTAGAGTTTCCCGAGGTCAGCCATCCTGCATGATATTTCCATAGTCCTAATGGAGTCCTTTGCGAGAATGGATAAACATGAAGTGATGAATGTGTATTGCATGTATTCAAAATGATTTGATGCATTTTATAGCAGATCTGATGACAGTTAAGCTATAGCTGCTGGCTTTGAATATATATTTCATTTATTTCTTCTTTTTTTCAAATTTCCTCTTTGCGTGACCGCCTAGAAACTGTGGTGGGTGAAAAAGCCCTTTTGGTTTCTGGTGAAGGCATTGCACTGTTAGCAGTCAGAAAGAAGCCAGACACAATGTTCTTTCCTCTCTGTAAGTACAATATTATCAATGACATTTCAAGCAATATTTCTCTGAAAAACGTGAATGATAATTAAAGAGCATATGTTTAATGTGTGACAGCAAAAAAAACGTTGGGGAAAATGTAAAAAAAAAAAAAAAAAAAAAAATCCATATTTGAATAAAGTCCTAAATTTCATTATGGCCAGAACTCAAGCAGTGTTTCACTGTGACTGCTTACATTCCAAATCTGTTTATTTGTGATTTATGAAAAATTATAAAAGAAGACTTTTTTTAGTGAGATTAGTTACCATAATTACCTGCTTATACGTTCAGCCTTAAAACTGACCTTAGTCTGAACAATCACCCTATTGTGTAACGGATGTGTGTTAATAAATTTATGATGCAACATGAGCCATGTCAACATTTATATGACAAAGAAAATTCAGAAACTCAAAAATGAAGCAACATTTAACAGTATCATTACATGTAAATCAATCCAACTTCCCAAAAAGTGGATTGGAGTTTAAAAATGTGAAAAGTGGTATTTTATCATTAATATTGTTCTGATATTATCAATTGTATTATATTATCAATATTTTCCCTTAGTCAGAAATTGTTTTTTCTCTGTTTCAGATGGAACAGTTTTGATATTTTTCAGCACAGGTATGCACAGAAATATAGATAAATGACTCCATAAGTGAGTGTTTTGAAATAGATGCAATTATTGTGCATTTCCTTCAAAAAATATTTGCAGTGCATATTTAGATTACAAGAATATTGATGAAATATCTAGAATTCAAGGTTGAGAAATTATATTCACAAGGATATATGAGGTCAATTTTAAGCAATGAGTTGTAAAATAGTATTTTCATTGATACTATCTTTTAAACCACTAATTAATTGTATATATTACAAATAGGCTTTGGATCACCATGCAAAGCTATGTCTAATTCTGCTTTTAACTCTGTTTCAGCTGCGCAGTCAAGTCCTGAGGTTCATCTGACCGCTGACCCTCCATGGACAGCAATGTTCCCAGGAGAGAAGGTTACTCTCACCTGTCAGGTCATTGGATCCCAGGGATGGATGTTTTCTTGGATCAGACTCAGCAGATCGGGGGGTACAACACAAATCCAAGGCTTCGGTGCAGATAACTCTGTGTTAGTCCTGGATTCAGCTGCAGAGAGACACAGCGGACAGTACCATTGTGAAGCTGAGAGATTGAACGAGCAAGTGGTCAGTAACGTCCACAGCATAACAGTCTCTGGTATGTACAGTGGTAGTAGTGAAAAATACTCCCATGAAAAAAGTTAATTAAATATGACTTAAAAGAGGAATTAATATTAATTCTATATTCCTTTGTGTTTTTCAGCTGCTCCACCACAGGCAGTCATAGTCACCGATCCTCCAGCCTCGGAGGTGTTCGCAGGAGAAACCGTTAGCTTAGCCTGCATCATTGAGGGATCTGGCTGGAGGTATTCTTGGAGCAGAATCACCCAGCAAAGACTGGAAAGCCTCAGCGCCCGCAGTACTGACAGCCAGCAAAAGCACGTCATAGACTCTGTCAGAGAGTCAGACGGTGGGACATTCTTATGTCAGGGAGAACGAGGACAAAATCCAGTTATCCAGTCTTTACCTGGATCTCTAGTGTTGAATGTGTCTGGTGAGTGAAGGAGACTTTCTGTAATATTTAACCATATGATTATGTGATTAATACTAGAAGTGTTTGTCAAACCTGAGAAATGAGGCCGAACATATGTTTGACTTTTAACAGGCAGAAAGCCGAAGCCAATGATTACCCAGAATCCCCTCGCTGATACACTGTACACAGGAGAGAGAGTGACCCTGAGCTGTGGGTTTGGGGTAGATTCGGCCAGCTGGGAGTATCTCTGGTTCAAAGACTCACTGAAAGCAGCTCCGCCCAACACTGACAGGTCTGGGGTCAGTTATACCATCAGATCTGCAGCTCTGCACCACAGTGGACAGTACCACTGTCTAGCTGCAAGAGGCACATGGCTCTTTTACTCAGACTACAGTGATCCTCTGACTTTACACATATCTGGTAAGATCTACCACAATAAAGAGACATGCTTGATACATTCTTATTAAAAAGAGTTTTTTATATTTATTTTTATAAAAAAGCGTTTGATGATATTTCAGTTCATAAATGGAACGTCTTGCATTGATTCGCAGATTTACCTCGTGCCCATCTGAGTGTGCAGTCTGGATGGACAGCAGTCTTCCCTAACAGAAACAGTGACCCTGAAGTGTGTCATTGAGGACAGTTCCACAGATTGGATGTATAAATGGTACAGAGAAAGACAGGAGCTTCCTGTTATCAGGCTGACTTTAGCAGTGAGACCAGAGACACATACTCAATCCTCTCTGCTGATCAGTCACACACTGGATCATACTCCTGCAGAGGAGAGCTTAAAATGAGAGCGACTGTACACTCTATGACCAGCAAATCTGTCCCACTGAGAGTACAAGGTAATAAGGGTATTGTTTTTCATGTCGGCCATTTTACTTCTTCCACTGTTCTACGCTATTAAACTAGTCCTGCATACTTTGTGCTATTTTAACAATTCATATATCAAAACGTGCAGCTTTTTCTGAACATTATTGCTATTAATTTTCTCCTTCATACTATTTATACTTTTTAAAATATTTCACTTCTTTTGTCCCATAGAAATGCATTGAAATAGTCTTCAAACTCTTCAAACTCTTGTGCTATTTTGAACCTCTATAACTTCAGCATACTTTCTCCTAGAGACTTCATTC